TTATTGCTATAAATTGGCCTCTGATCACTCCTTTTGCTGGGTCCCACAGATTTTGGTTATGTTGTGTTTTCATTTTTGTTTGATTCAAGGAATTTCCGAATTTCAGTTTTAATTTTTTTCTCTTACCCAGTCTTTCTCAAGGCGGATGTTGTTCAGTTTATATGTGTTTACTCTTTTCCTGTTGATCTTCCTATTTTTGATTTCTCATTTGATAGCATCATGATCCGAGAGGACGCTTTATAGTATTTCGATATTTTTAAATTTATTAAGGCTTGCTTTATGGCCTAACACACGGTCTATCAGAGAAAAAGTTCATGTGCACTGGAGAAGAATGTATAATATGCTGCTGTTGGGTGAAGTGCTCTATAGATGTCTATAAGGCCAAGTTGTTGGATTGTATTGTTTATCTCTTCTGCATCTTTGTTGAGTTTTTTTCCAGTTGTTCTGTTTTTCAAAGAAAGTGGTGTATTAAAATCTCCCACTATGACTGTGGAGTCATCTGTTTGGCTTTTGAACTCTTTTAAAGTGTGATTTATATATTTTGGGGCTCTTTCATTGGGTCCATAGATATTTATTATCGCTATATCTTCATGTTCAATTGATCCTTTTATCACATAATGTCCTTTCTTGTCTCATATGATGGTTTTTTTCTTAAAGTCAATTTTATCAGAAATTAAGATTGCCACTCCTGTTCTCTTATAGCTGCCATTTGCTTGGTATATCTTTTTCCAGCCTTTGATTTTTAAGCTATTTTTGCCTTTATCTCTAAGGTGTGTCTCTTGTAGGCAGCATATCGATGGGTTGTGTTTTCTTATCCAATCTGCAACTCTCCATCTCTTGAGTGGTTCATTTAATCCATTAACATTCAGGGTAATCATTGGTAAGTTTGAATTTGTTGCTGTCATTTTGTTATGTGTTTTTTCATGGTGATCCTGTTTTCTTTGTTCCATATTATTTTCTGTGCTGAACTCATTATGTTTATGAATCGTGTTATCATTTCCTTTGTTGCTGTTCTTTTAGTGTATGCTGAATATTTGTGCTTGTCCTCT